GTGCCCTAAGGGGTCTTTGAGGGCATTTTAGATAAGCGGCACCCCTACCTGGGCCCCGCGGGGCTGACTGGGCCCCGCGGGTTTGCCCTTTGCTGGCATGTCAGTGAATTAACTGCCATCCTTGGGACGACTGCCCAGTGATTTGGCCTCTGGAGCGTCTCAGGTGTGTATTTCACAACTCCTCCCATCTTCTCCACCTGCTGAAGGCATATTCCCCTGATATGGTTTGGCTCTGTGTCCTCACCCAAATCTCACCTTGTAATAATTCCCACGTGTCATGGGCGGCACCAGGTGGAGGTACCTTGGTCTCCTGCCAGTGAGTTCTCACGAGATCTGATGGCTTAAGGGGCTTCCCCCCACTTCCCTGGGCGCTCATTCTCTCCCGCCAAGCTGTGAGGAAGGTGCTGTTCTTCCCTCTTCACGTGAACTGCCTCCATGATTGCAAGTTTCCTGAGGCCTCCCCAGCTGTGAACCAATTAAAATTCTTTGTAACTTAACCCAAGTTATTTCTTGGGTATTTCCTCAGAGCAGCGTGAGAACGGACTGATACACCCCCCACGTGGAGTAGTGGGAGCTGGGGGAGTTAGGAGGTCCCAACAGGGTGAAGGTGTGATAGGGTCTTGGGACAGGGGGAGCGCTGCCTGAGGAGGGAACGCTGGGCAGGGCATTGAGGCTCCACTGGGCTTGGTGAGCATGAGGCTGAGAGAGGGACGTGTGGATTGAAGAGTCAGGGGTGACATGGATTGAGGAGTTGGGTGACATGGAAAGAACCTGGGGCTTTGCCAGGCATAGGTGAAGGAAGGCCACTTAGGTACCGGCAGTGGGAAGAGAGGGCAGTGAGTAGTGAACAGAGGAAGAGAAAGCAGAACACTGGAGCACAACGCTGGGGGCGAGCAGAGGTGGCTGGGGGGTTCCCATGTGGTGCATTCTGGCATTTACGTTTTGAAAAATAATTTTTGTTCCTATTAATGCTTTTATAATAGTTGTAGGAAAGAAGAAAAAATATGAATTAGCTATTACGAGGCTTCTTTTGAGGTTTTTCAGTTCAGAAACATGCCTCACTTTACAAAATAAGAAAATCCTAAGTTAAAAAATGTATGGAGGTCAATAATTGACATTTTAGTCTGACAATACAACTCACTGGAGCTTCCTTAGAGACGTATTAGAAATTCAGAGCTGCATGCATTTTCCCCCTACCAGATAAACTGAAACAATATAAAGTGAGTTATTTCTTTTGAGACTGAGAGGCCTTTAGCTAATGAAACAGGTATCTGTAGAAAGAGGCATTCTTGATTTTTATCTACAAGACATAGAACTAAAAACCAAGAATGCCAGATGGGTATTATGTCTGTCCATGACAGAAAGGTACAAACCATATTGATACAATTAAGATTGGTCTTAGCAGACACTTCAGCAATAAATATAACCTGTAGCAAAGCAAATAAAATATATGAAGTATAACAGAAAAGCAATGCAGGCAAAGGTGGACAGATTGCTTGAGCCTAGAAGTTCAAGACCAGCCTGGGCAACATGGCGAAACCCTGTCTCTACAAAAAATACAAAAATTAGCTGGGCATGGTGGTGTAAATCTGTGGTCCCAGCTACTTGGGAGGCTGAGGTGGGAGGATCCCTTGAGACAGGGAGGTGGAGGCTATGGTGAGCTATGATGGCACCATTGCACTCCAGCTTGGGTGACAAGACTGAGACCCTGTCTCATTAAAAAAAAACAATGCTATGTGTGAATTTTTTTCCAATCCTTTTTTAATATGGAAAATGTTTTTTCAAAATAATGTCTTACATGGAATGACAATGTAAAAACCAAATAAAATGGATAATTTCAAATTTATAAGTAAAACTAATATAAAGTCAATTGTCGATCTCACGTATGTCAAAATTTGCCAGGTAACACATTTTGAAGAGGTGTTACTTTTGGTCAAATTTTTTCCATCTTTAAAATTGTGGTAAAATACATATAAAATTTAGCATCTTAATGACTTTTAAGTGTACACTTCAGTGTTACTAAATTCATATTGCTGTGCAACCATCACTACCATCCATCTTCAGGCCACTTTTCATCCTATAAAGCAAACTCTACATCCATTAATAACTCCCCGTTCTCCCCTCCCTCCAGCACCTGACAACCACCATTCTACTTTCTCTCTATGAATCTAATCTAGGTACTCCATGTAAGTGGAATCATATAATATTTGTCCTTCTATGTCTGGTTTATTTCACTTTGCATACTGCCCTCAAGGTTCATCCATGTTGTAGCATGTGTCAGAATTTCCTTTCAAGGCCGAGTAATAATCCTGTGTGTTGTATGATATTTTGCTTATTCATCGACAGACATGCCTTCATGTTTTAGCTGTTGTGAATAATGCCACTGTGAATATAGATGTATGAATATGTGTGAATATAACAACAACAACAACAACAACAAAAAGCACACATTGGGCTTCATCATGAGCTCAGCTGTATGTAGGGATGGGGGTTGCTGGAAGTCGTGGTGGGGCAACTGAAGCACGTCTCTGGAAATAGTGTGTCCCTGGGGGACAGGTCAGGCAGGTGAGTCCTGCTCAGTTACAAACCTCAGATAAGCACTGACACATTAGAATTACTGTGAAACTGCAAAAACAAAAAGGGTGCCTGTTCTGATCTCTAGACACCCTGATTTAGAGTTTCTTGGCGAGGACCCTGGATATCTGCATGCTCAAAAGCCTCCACTGGGGGTTCTGATTTGTTACTCTTGGGGCTGGCAACCACACAGCCTTGAACTTAGGAAGGAAGGGTGATCTGTCTCTCTTCTTAGGGGCAGAGAGTAAAAATACCAGATGCACTGTTTTCGTAGTGAAACGATGCAAGACCCTATGAGGCAAACTAGCGTGGCCCTTTAGCCAAGCAAAAGTGAGATGTTCTTCCCTCCTGCAACAAACACCAAGTGGAGCCAGCCGTACATGCCACAGTGTACAGCGGCTTTCACCCAGAGGAAAGTGGCTTATGAACCATCCCAGTAAGGCCTCCCAGAAGCACTAGGCAGAGGATGCTTTGCAAACTGGTGGAAGATGGAACCAGGAACAAGGTTCAGTGACATACTTGGTGAGGTCTAGATCCACTGTTAAGCCGGATTTGTGACATAAAAACTCTCCATGTGTTAAAAAAAAAAATTAAAAAAAAAATCTTTAAGGCAGGCAGTGATCCCCATTCTTCTGGATTTTATAGACCAGTAAGTCTCAAATAAATCTGGGACTGACAGCTGATTACCAACTTTTATGTAAGGACAATGAAAAAGACTAAAAGCTATGATCTACCATCAGTTCACAAAAGAGGCTTATTTTGATATCATTAAGGAGGGATAACTTCAGAATTTAAAAACTGCACGCATTAAACTTTAATTAGAAAATAACCCTGTATTTCCTGTGGCTGTCTCATTTTCTGTGGACGAATGAAATGTTTATCATCATCTCTGCAAACTAAGGCTTCTTTGCCTTGAATACTTAGGGGCAGCTGTACCACTTACAGATGCTATTTCCTTGAAGAGGTGTTTTCAGGGTTTTAAGGAAACTGAGGAATTCAAGTGCAAAAATCTCTTGGTATCTTGCCTCAGTTTCCAATATTAATAGCTGTGTGGTGAGTGCTCAGCCAGAAAATGGTATCATTGCTTTAAAAAGAAGTCAAAAAAGATTGTGGCAAGTAGTCATGGAAACTCGAAGTTGGAAGGTTTTCTTAGCAATGATCTCACCCCTGTGGTTTTCAAACTAGTGCTCCATGGAGCCACAGTGGTGTTGCTTGAATCAAGACTTCCATTTTAACTGTTTTACTAGTTAAGTTTCTGATTAAGATACAGTTCAGTTGCTTTAAAAAAAACGGCTGACTACCACTGATTCAATCCATCACCAATTTAAAGGGGAAACTACAGGAGGTAAGGGGTTTGCTTGAGGCCACTCATTTCATTGGCAGAACTTGGTGACACATCACCAGTGGAGTAGGGGTAGGAAGAATCTTGTCAAACATTCCTAGTGTCTGTTCTCAGGTCATCAATGGTTGAACCAAATCTATCACTCCGTTGCAGGGAGTCCAGTTTCCTTCTGAAACAGATGGGCTCCTTTTCATACTGGACTCTGCATTCCACCTGGCACACTTCTCTACATGATAATAGCAATAAATATTTCACTGACAACTGTTGGAAACCTTTAAACTCCAGTTATGCAGTTTTGCTCCCATTTTTTACTACTACTGTTAAAAGTTTCTTTAATAGCATTTCTTGGCCGGGTACAGTGGCTCACACCTGCAATCCCAGCACTTTGAGAGGCCGAGGCAGGCGGATCACTTGAGGCCAGGAGTTCGAAACCAGCCTGACCAAAATGGCCAAACCCCATCTCTATTAAAAAAAAAAAAAAAAAAAGCCAGGTGTGGTGGTACACACCTGTAATCCTAGCTACTCAGGAGGCTGAGGCATGAGAGTCTTTTGAACCTGGGAGGTGGAGGCTGCAGTGAGCCGAGATCATGCTACTGTACTCCAGCCTGTGACAGAGTAAGACTCCATCTCAAACGAAACAGAACAAAACAAAACTGTACTTCTTCATATGTGAAGAGTATAGTGCTAATATTTACATGAATATCACTATTTACAAGGTATTAATGTCTGGACTACATTGTCTAGTATGTAAATTGAAATGAAGTTGTATCTACTCATCAGTATTCCTCAGCTGATCATACTGTAGGCTGAAAGCATCTACAATCAAGTCTATCACAGATTGTATCATGCATTTGTCGTGTAGAAGGCCCCTCAATGGCAAAACATCTGATAAGTCTGGACATGACTCAGCTGCACAAATAAACTCTACATAATTTAAAACAGTATTTTCACACTGTGGTTCCTAATCATGGGTCATGAAATTCAATTCAGTGGGCTGTGAGAGCTTTAACACACACATACTCATCACCCTACCAAACACATTCCTAGAAGAGAAAAATGTCAAAATATGTCACATGCCTGTGAGTAAATATTTCATAAACATTTTATTTCAATCATATATATATATATGTATGAACACATGTACTGAGTCATGATATAAAATGTATTTTACAGTTCTCTAGGGCAAAACATTGCTTTAAAGAAAAGCATACTTGGCCAATCAGTTCCTTGGGAAGACTTTTTTGTTTTTTCCACTTCTGAGTAATGACTCCACATCCTGGGTACACGGAAGCCCTCTCTCCTCAATTCGGCAGCAGTGCTCTGTAGCACAGCCAGTTCCTGGCTCAGGCCATTTTCCAGAGGGATGCATCCTTCACTCGCAGCCCTGTGAGATAACTGAAGGAGAGCTGCAGCGGTGCATCTGAACCCGCAGCAGAGGCGGCTCAGGTCCTGCCTACAGCGTGCACGCATGATACCAGGGGCTTTCCACCGTGATTTTTCACTGACATGATTTCCTTTCATTCACCTGCAGGAATGGTTCAACCACTGATAACCTGATGTACAGGCCTGACCTGTATATCAAGCTCCTAGCACAGAATACAGGGGCTGAGTGAAAGCTTCTAAATACATGCACTCAACAGTGAGCACATTCATTTTCTTATAAACCATATAAATTAAATTCAAAACATAACAGTTTCTAACAAAATAAAAAGTATACTCATTTCTTCATACTTAAGAGCTACAAAAGTACTATATAAACCCTTATTTATATTGATTAAATCAGAATAGGTATATAGAAAGTTGAGGCACTGGTGTCTGTGGCTAATGGTAGTAATCACAGCTCATACAGTAAAATGTTTAACATTAACCTTTAAATTCTGAATGGTTGTAAAATTACTATTTTAATACCATATATACAATATATATCATATATTTAGTACTAGTTACGACTTTTTTCTAAAATAATAATAGGATATGATACCCAGGGAAAAAGAAAATACCTAATAACTTTCCCAAGTGCTGGTTAAAAAAACACATCAGTGTATGCTGGATTTGAGGGGTGGACATGATTTAGCCAGTGAGTCACAGGGAGAGCAGAGCAAAGCTTTATTAAACTGGAAGGGCACTCATGCTGATTTGATTCAGACCCTTCATCTTTCATACTGGAAAACAATGCTCACCAGGGCAAGTGTCACATCGTTTATGTAATACAATAAGAAAGATGTCCCAGAATCTAACAAACCTAGAATCTTTTCCATTTCATAACAGAGATTTATACTATAAATACAATTATATTCTTGAAAGATCAAATCAAATATCAAGAAAAACAAATCCATAATACTTTAGACTTTAAAAAATCCTAAAGCAAGAATTTAATAAAAATATATGTCAATAACTGTGTTCAAGATAATTCATCTATATGCTTATATAGTACTCTGTGTACTGGCTGTGTTTTCATCTGTATCACTTGAGTTAAACTTCTTCCATAAAAATTTCTCATTTGATTTCCAAAGAGAAGCTGCCGGCTCTTCTCTCCTTTTGGACGGTGCTGCCAGAGGTGCTTTTTCACACAGAGTCTCTATTACCGCCAGGTCTGTGAATTTACTAAGACTCTCATCATTCTGCTCATTCAAGATGTCCCAGAAATCTTTTGGTCTCTGTTTTGCTTTTTCCATGGGCTCTGAAAGAACTTTCTTTGGCAGTTGTGTGGGACTGTTCCCATGACTTTTAAAAAGGTCATCAAGAATAGAGGTATCACCAAGTAAGCTTATCACAGAAGTCTTTTCCAGCACAGGATTTTCTATCTTTTCGTTTTCCAATTTGAGAAGGGGTTCTTTTCTTGAAACGCCTGTTCTCGTGAGGTCCTGTTGGTCTTTCATGGTATTTTCAAACCTTCTCTCATGTGCTTCTGACTCACTGTTCAGAGAACGGGATGTCACAGTACCTTCAGATGCTTGGCTGTTTTTCCCACTGTCAATCTTTTGAGTAGAACTAACAGGTGATTTCTTAGTTTCTGCATCATTAGAAAACATTTCTTCTCTATAAGAACTATGATTTTGAAACTTAATTGGCTTTCCTTTGTATGTTTTTGGGCAGCCAATTTGAGAAATTTTGTTGGTAGAATCTTTAAAAGACAAGGTTTCAGAATCTGACAGCCTTAGAGGTTTTCTTTTTTCAGATTTCTTTCTGATGCGCTCTCCTTTCTCAAAGGCAGAATTGTTGAATTCTGATGCAGAATCCACAAAAAATTCTTTTACCTCTGGATATTGAGAAGCATAAAAATCTCTTAGCATTTTCTGTCGTTCTTCTGATGTGGCATTGGTTATATGTTTAGCAAATTCATTTACAGAAGACGAGTTAAAGTGAGAGGCCATTTCTTCAAATTGTTTTCTAAAGATTAAATGAACAAAACTAGTAGTTATTTTCATTACATTTTATGTTGAAAGAACTCATAATCAGTAACAGGAAATGTAGAGGCCAAGGAAGGTAAGTTCCTTTAGCATACGTCTGCTGAATTCCATAATGAAAATACATTTTATCCTAGTAGAATGAGGCCTCTTCCCTTATGCTACTGAGAAAAGTAATTTAGCTCATGAAATCACCAGCTTTGTAAGTTATTTTGATTTATGCTATTATATTAGGTATTTCCTGGGAATTATGGAGGGAGGCCCAGCATGCTACTCCTCCAGTGATCCAATTTATGACTGACATGAGGATCATAATTTATAGAATCTGTACTTGAAAATCTATACTGTATTCAAGTCTTATGAAATAAAATTGTCAAAGAAGAATCTTAACGAAAAGAGCAAATTCTGAAAAATTAAGAAAGATGCTTGTTTTTTTCCCTTCCCTCTCCTTTTCCCCTTATTCTATGAACACAATATAGAAATTGCACAAGACTTTTTGATGAGCCCAAAGGAAAGTTCTAAACTGATCAACCTAGATTATTTTTCCCCAGATGATATAGATACCTAAGTTAAGAAGTGAGATGCTATTAGAAGTGTGTTGTATTCTTAGAGTAAGATGCTAATAAAAGCTGTTGTATGCATGTATGAGGAAATGGAACTTCAAGAACCTTGGTAAGATAGAGGCAGAAAGATTTAGGGACCTGGGCAATGAGCCCTGCTCCTTTCCCTAAATGAGGGTGCTATGGACTAAACTGCACCCCCCACCAAATCGTGTGAAGCCCCCCTAACCAACAACATAACAGTATTTGGAGTTGTGCCTTCAGGAGGTAATTAAGGTTAAATGAGGTCATAAGGGTGGGGCCCTGATCCAACAGGATTAGTGTCCTTAGAAGAGATGCCAGAGAACCCACAGAGTTTTGTTCTCTTCTCCCTCTTCCTCTTCCTCTTTGCCATGTGAGGATAGAGGGAGATGGTGGCCACTTGTAACCCAGGAAGAGGGCTCTCACCAGAAACTGAATCAGGTAACTTCTTACTGTTAGCCATCCAGCCGCCAGAACTGTGGAAAAAATTTCTGTTGTTTAAGCCACCCAGTCTATAGTATTGTGTTATCGCAATCCAAGCAGACTAAGACAGTGGGTATTGCTTTGCTGATGATGAGTTTAGGCCATGAGACAGGAAAACTCAATGTTTATAAATACTCCTTTGAACAAAAGTCATAGATAGTGAGTGTAGCAGCCCATGATTAAAAGTCCTAAAGTTTCAGAAATTATATTTTATACCACAGTTCCTTAAAACATTCATTTATTCACTCAACAAATGTTTAGAGCCTGTTATGTGCTAGGCATTATAGCATGAACTATATAACAGCAAATAAGACTCCGTTTCCTATCTTTGAGGAGTCTACAGTTTACTTGGTGGAGACAAATGCATGAAAATCAAACTAGAATAGAGTGATAAACCCATAATGTAAATTTACCAGGAGGTAAATATGGGGCTCTACTGGCACTCACAGAAAGGAAACCTGGATTAGCGAAACTTGGGTGGTAGGCAAGGTGGGTAAAAAAGGCATCTCTTCCTGACAAGTCTGTCAGGTAATGATGAGTGAGGAAGTCTCACAGCGGGAGGGGGCCCATGTACAGGCTCAGGTCCAAGATAACCCGGTTCATGGAGGCACAGGAGAAACTGCAAGGAAGATGCTAAAAATCACAGGGGGTCTGTATGCCAAGTTCAGAAGTTTGAATTTTATCCTATGCACAACAGAGAATCTTTAGCATAAAACAGTAATTTACTTTTAATGTATATAAGTAGAAGCTTCAAAGCCACTTTTATCTTTGACACGTAGACCAGGTTATATAGTTTGTGTTTCCTTTGCTGTTAGTGGCAGACCATAAAGCATGCTCACAACTTTCCTTTGTGGCCTCAGATGGGCCCATGGCGTCTAGTCCTCACTACGCTGTCTTGTTAACTTCCCCAAATCCGGATAGCATACATGCTGGACCAGCAGCCACTCTCATCTTATAAATATTAACAGAATATTTAATAACAGACACACAAGACACTGAATTTCTGTCCTGGAAACTGCCAATGTTCTTGCTGAAAAGTAACAAGCATGTTCTTAAGAGGTTCCAGTTTTCACTTCACATGAAGTAATGAGATATTATTCTGTTTATTAATCATCTCCAAATCCATTTTCATGGACATTCTAATAAATATTTGTGCTTGTAAAGATTAAGTGATTGGCAAGATTACAAGCTGATGTCATTTATTTATCCAAGACTGTGGTGTCTCAGCAGCTGCCAAAGTAACTTCGCCTCTGCTGTGCTGAAACCATGACCTCTTCCATGACCCGTCACCTCTGGGTGTAGAGGTGCTTCTAACCTCATTTTATCTGAGTAGTCTGCAAGTACAATATGCCACATGGTTGTTGCTTACAGGATAAGCTATAATTATCATTCGTTTTATTTTTGCCTTCTAACTAGCTTTCCTAATTCTGGGCCTTCAGAATTTTCTCTAAGAGTGTAAGAAACTACAGGGTACAACCAGGGGGTGTAAGGCAGCCACTCTGTGAAGAAAAATGAGTAACCTAAAGTAGAATTCCATAACCCACTTAGGGAAAGGGGAGAAAAAAGAAACCAAAGATACGTATCTTTCAGCAAGTGTATTAAAAGCAGTTATGTATCATGGATATAATTCAAATTCCTCTCTCTTTCTGGAGGAAGCAGGGTGGAACACAGCTCAATTCATCTTCTGTCTGACTAAGCTTCCGGAAGGAGAGGTGGGAATGAACGCCTCAGATGATCATGTAACTGCAGCAGAAGGGGGTACAGTCTTGATTCCGATTGACTAGGACGGTTAATGGAAAACAGGGTGGTTAAATGTACATGGTCAGACAGTTTTAATTCTACATCCCTAACTGGTAACCAAAGCCAGTGAGGCACACAGTGATTGAAACACCTGAACATGCCACTGGAACTCAATAAAGCTGATGAGTCTGTCGTTGCTCTGCCCATGGCTCAAGATGCATATGCAGAATGCTGTATGGCATCGTGTCCATTCCAAAAGCAAACTCCCAACCACAGCAGGCGCTGTATCAGTCACTTTCACAGTGCTGACTGCAACGTTTGATCTGGTGCCGGAGCTGAAAGACTTCATCAGGCCAGACAGACCAATTGTTCAAGAGAAAGGCAAAATAGCGCCATGGTGCATGCCTGACTAGAAAAACATGAGTAATGTTACCATCAAGTGCAAGGTTGTGAAGGATGCTTTCTTGCTCATCTATCATGCTGTGTGCAAACCCAACTGTAACCTGATGCAGCAGATAAGCAAAAGATTCAGCGCCCTACTCTCAGGCGTCAGGCCAGGAGGCACCACAGCCTCCATCAAACTCAACCCGGCGTGCGACTTCAAAGAAGCCGCAGCATGAGTAGCTAGCAAGGGCTTTGACATCAAGATAACACGATTACTCTTTGCAACTTGGTGCCAACCAGAACCTTGGGGTCACTGCATGTGCCTTCATAAGTAAGTTTAAGCTCATCACAGCCTTTTCCGAAATGACCTCATACGTTACAATGTGACGTTTCATTGAGGAAGGATTCAGTCATGCCTCACCCCTCTCTGGTATAGGTTGTGACATGATGAAACTCATCAGTGTTGAAGGATGACTCATTGAGAAACACAGGGAAGAACTCTTTCCATTTCTTAGAAGTCTTTTGACTCAGTGGGCACAAAGACTTAGCACCTGCAAAATTCCCTAATCTTTGTAAGGTTACAAATGCATGGATAGGGAAGCTAGATACTTCTTTCAGACAGTACAAGTCAACAAAGGAGTGCCCTTCCAAACTTCTTGACCATGATGTTGAAGAGGCAGTTTCAAAACCACCTCTCAAGAAGGCACTGATGAGCAAAGAAGATGAAGGAGGACAGCTGAGACCCATACTCCAACTGACCATGCCAGCCTCAGATGATCGCCTCAGGGAGCTAGGGGACCAGCCCTTCCCGGGCAGCAGAGGAACCAGCTGCCTGAGAGTTGCCAAGCACCTGCAGAAAGTATTTTGAACGCACAGAGCCAGAGACATTTCCCACTGCCCCCAAAAGCCAGCAGGACCAGTCCGACCAGGCCTCCCATCCCTGTTAACCTCTATCATTCATTACCACTGGCTTCTCATCCCCTCCTACTGTATATCTTGATCTAATCCAATCCTCCACCCTACCAAGGCTTCCCTCAGTGCCACTGGAACCAACAGTCCTCCAAGTCTTCTGCTTCTATGCTGAATGGTCCTGTGCTCTGATGATACTGCCTCTTCCCATGTAGCCCTTGCAAGGCAAGGCTGTTCCATCTCACAGCTCTCCAATCTCAGAGTTAGTGCTTCTAGACACTGCTGCTTCCAGACCATTCTCTACTGAGAAAACTCCTTCCCCTCTTTAATGTTTATGCCATCCAGCTAAACTGTTCTTTCCTCAATCTTAAGTGCTCCCTTCATTGCTTCCTGCTAGCAGCTAAACTCTCAAGATCCTGGATTAATCTTTCTTCCCACCCCATCTCCTGCCATCATTCTTGATAACATCAACATCCACGTGGATGTCCTACCCAATACCTGGCCCACCACTCTCTTTAGCTCACTTCCAAACTCATCCCAATTCAACATTAGCCCCTACTCCCAAGGTTATAAACTGCCATTGTCATTACCATCAACAACTCAACCTCTATGCCCCTAACTTAGTCATCTCAGGCTCCGGCTCACACACACAACAGCAATGCCGGGATATGCTGGTGACCTCAAATCCTCAAATTCACTGACTCTTGTGCTTTTGCACTATCCACCAGCCTCCCTTGTCCAGCTTAGGTCTAACTTCACTTTATAATCACTCCTTTACATTCTTCAGCTTCCTTGCTTCTCTCTCCCACCATTCTAACCCCTGGCCAGACCCAGCCATCTCTCTACTTGTGTCGGCAACAGAGCAACTGAAGCTTGCTGAATAAAATGTGAATACTGGACAGATGATTTTCTTGAAATTATTATCAAATGGGAACTTTAACACCACCCAGAATTCGAGTCCCATTAAGCTTGCTTTCCTACTTTATAAATGGTTTCCTAACTTCTCTCGCCCTAAATCTTTCTCCCTCTAAACTGATGGCTTCAGTTCTCAATTCACTAAGACATCACATCTGTGCCTATGTTTGTTCCTTCTCTTTCAATGCTTCTCAAAGGCCAGGCCGTGCCTATGGTCTGGGCACTGCCTTCCACTGCTTCCAGGCCTTCCCTCTTTCTGTTTTCATTCCCTGGCATGATCTCTTTTTATCCTATTATTAGTCTTTTCCCTCAACACACAACAGGTTCTGTTATCTCCTCAACTGTACCACCCCACAATGCCCTCCAGCTACTGCTACTTTTTACACCCAAACTTGCAGCGCCAGCCACTTCCTCTCAGGGTCTGCCCACTGCTTCCATCCAAACTTACAGTGCCGGCTGCCTCCTGCACAGCCTGCCAACTGCTTCCCAGGTTGCTCCTGCCAAGGTACTTGCTGAGTGCTCTGCTATCACCTCCAGTGGGCAGTTTCCCACTTCATCTGCTTCTGGTTCTCTGCAGCACTTGATAAAGTTAAGAACTCCCTCCTTTTAAAACCCTCTCACTACTCCTGGACTTCAGAACCCAACACTGCCTCTTACACTGCCTCCAGTCTATCCTGGGGCTTGCCTCCTCCTCTCTGTGTTCTGTTCCTAGGCTGCTCACACAGTCTCACGGTTCTGAAGACCATTTATAAACTCCATGCTGATGACTCCCAAATTTAAACCTTTAATCCCCAAATCCAGAGTAGCACATACATACATTGCCTATTTGACCTTTCCAAAGAATGTCACATTTAATATAAGCAAAAGGGAACTCTTGATATTTTTCCTCTCAACTTGCTTCTCTTGGGTTTTCCTCATTCAGTACTACCACTCTGTTGCTCAACACAGAAAGAAGTAATCTTGATCTCTCTCTTTCCCAAACCAGTCCATCACCAAACTGAATTCATCCACTTGACTCTATCCTCAAGGCAACCACTCAGGTGCAAACCCCCCTCACCAAGTTCCTTCTCGTCTCCCCTTATTCATTCTGCCCTCTTCCACAGGGAAGCTGGAACCATCTTTTAAAAAGATACATAGATAGTGCCATTACAGTTTTCCACTGCCCTTGAACAAAATCCAGACTCTTTCTGTAGCCTCCAAGGGTTTATAAGCTCCAGCCCCACTTGCATCTCTACCCTCCATCTTGGGCTACTTTCTGGTTGGTTTATTCTGCACTAAGGCCACAATCCTCTCAGCTCCTCGACCACACCAAACCTCTTCCCTCCTTGGAGATGCTCCTACTCTGGTTCTTTGCACGGTTATCCTTCAGCTGTTAACTTAAATGCTACCTGTGTAGGGAGTCTTCCCTGACTTCCCAAAAGAAAGGTGGTTCTACGTCCCCTTCACATCCCATTATTCTCTTTCAGGGCAGCTTGTCCATTTTTTTCTTCTAACATGCCATTTTGTAATTATTTGTAGGTTTACTTTTTAAAATGTTATGGTTTGATGCCAACCCCATTCTTCTGTACTGGAGGCTCTCGGTCATTTTTACACAGTATCGTCAAGACTCAGCACAATGCCTAAGCATATATTAGGTACTCAAAAAATGTTCAACGACTGAATGAATAAAATGTGCTTAAGTATTTCATTTCTTTGTATAACATGATTTCCCTTTTTTGGGTAATCATTTCAGGCATTGGCTTTCTAACAACATCTAAAACATTTGCAATTTATTTTTGAAATTCAGATTTTACTGAATTATTCTGATCTCGGGTATGGTTAGAACTCAAATATTTGTATATTTTACTAAGGAGCTACATTTCTTTTGAGAATTATTCTTCAAGTCTAGTGTTGTCAGAGACAATATACCTGCGGATTCCTTTTGGTGTTTCTCCAATTATGAAGGTGGTCTGGTTTGTATGGTAGACTTTTTTCTTCTTCTGGCTTACAGGGTGTGAAATATAAAGAGGAAGTGAAATGCTGCCTTCACTCGGTTGCTGGCATTTCTTTGTGTGTGGCAATGTATCTGCATCCACTTTTTCTTTATATGTCTGAAAAAAAGAAAGGAACCAAAAGCTATGTCTGAAAAGATAGTTATTGTGGTCAAATAATCAGAATGTCTTACTTTTTTCCAATACTCTTTATAATGAAGTAAATCGTATTCTCAAACTGAAATCGTCGTCAGAAGATGTTAACCTAGATCTTTAAAAAGATGACACAGGCAAAAGTTATTTTTTTATACCTTTCTTTAAGCTATAAAAGTAATGGCAATAATATGATATTTTCATTGTCAAGACTGTGGGAATACTGATACATAGGTTGATATCTACTATACCAAAGGATAAAAATTAATGATTATATACACAATAGCATAAACATGTGTCCTGGGGCTTCTCTTCTGTCTGTGCTCTGTTCTTAGGCTGCTCACACAGGCTTGTGTGTGAGAGTGAGAAAATTTTCTAATTTAGTAATTGCAAAATGTTCTAATTTAGAAATTGCAAAATTAATAAGCAGCCTTTCAGTCATCTAATTTCATATAATAGATACATGTAAATAATAAATAAATAAGAAACCATAAATCTTACATTTCAACCTCTACTGGGTTGTTAGACTATTTAGTGATTTTGAGATGCTAATTACAGTTGGTTGAATTATAGATGGAATCACACTCTTTTTACAGAGACTATGGATTGCCTGCCTAACATAAAGTTTATCGACAGTGAGCCAAGAAAAAAAAAATAGTCCCAGTTTTCCTCACAAGACGATATGGTATAAATACGTAGAAAGTCCTCATTCTATTCCAAAAAGAGAAATACTGGATACAATTTAACAATAACAACAACAAAATTACATTGGAGCTCTAAAGTAAGAAAACAGAATGTCTAGGTTCCTCAAATGAGGAAGTCCCACAGTGGTGAGTGGGAGCTGAAGCTCAGCAGCCCTAGGGGTAGGGCCTTAAGTTACAGTCTACAGCACCCATGTGTAGAGGGGAGATGGAAATGGTTTAACTCCCTGCACTAAACAACAAAGAAACATGAAACACAACAGGAATGAGAAGGAGTCTGATATGCAAATTAAAGCCAGGAAAGCCAAACCTGGGACACAGGCTAGAAGCAGGCCACTTTCTTACTCTAGATAGAATCACCGGTGACAAACAGGAACCCCCAGCTGGTGCCATGTGTGGAATCTGATTTCGTACCATCTGATAGTATGAAAACTCTAAGCTGAAAATCAACATAAAAAATGTGTCCAGAACTAGTGAAAACCATAGATCTCAATGAGGGTTGAATAAAAAACACCATAGGAAGACTACCATAATCCAGAGAATGCTTTTGATTCCAATGAAAACAGAAGAAGTTTGGATAAAAATTATAAATAACATATAAAACCTACCATCATAAAAGTGAGCACATGTAACAAGTATAAGAAATGAAATCTGAGGAATTATCTATAATAAAGCAATCTGAAAGAGGTTATTTATGAATGAATAAACAAATGACAGAGTCTTACTCTGTCACTCAAGCTGGAGCGCAATGGCATGATCATAGCTCACTGCAGTTGATAAATTGGAAGAAAAAATTACTCAGAATGAAGTGCAGAGATTAAAAAAATTAGGAAAGTTAAGAGACAGAAGACACACCAAAGTTTCTAAAATGCTAAAAGGAGAGAATGGAGAAAATGGAAGAGATAATGCCAAAGAGATGATGGCAGAGACCTATAAAAGAAAGGAATCCTCAAACTGAAAAAGAAAAAAATCCCTAGTAGGAAAAATAAAAATAAATCTGATATTTTGTCATATCACAGATAAAGGTCATACCTTATAAATTACCAGAGGAGGATAAGGCATCCTACAAAGAAATGCCAAACTAGGCCAGGCATAGTGGCTCACATCTGTAATTCCAGCAGTTTGGGAGGCTGAGGCAGGCAGATTGCTTTGAGTCCAGGAGTTCAAGATCAGCTGGGCAATGTAGCAAAACCTTTCCTCTAAAAAAAAATTCAAAAACTAGCTTGGTGTGGTGGTGTGGCCTTGTAGTCCCAGCTACTCCAGAGGCTGAGGTGGGAGGATGGCTTGAGCCCAGGAAGCAGAAGTTGCAGTGAGCCAAGATCATGCCACCACACTCCACCCTGGGTGGCAGAGCCAGATCCTGTCTCAGGAAAGAAGAAGAAGAAGAAAAAAAAAGACAAGCTAACATCAGGCTTCTCATTAACATCATAATCATATCCACCAGAAGAAAATGGGGTATTTTCAACATGCAGAGAAGAAAAAACCTGTGAACCTAGAATTCTATACCCAGTTAAACTATCATGTAAGGAATTCTCAGGCATACAAAGACTACCCGAATTCATTAGATTCTTGACACACACACACACACACACACACACACACACACACACAAGGTCTTGCTCTTTTGCACAGTGCAATGGTGCAATCATAGCTCATTGCAGTCTCAAACTCCTGGGCTTAAGTGATCATTCCACCTTAGCCTCCTGAGTAGTGGGGACTACAGGCACAAGCCCACAGGCCAAGCTAATTTTTCTATCGTTTTATAGAGATGGGGTCTTATTATGTTGCCCAGATTGGCACAGGTAACACAGCAAGACCCTGGGCTCAAAAGTGATTCTCCTGCCTCAACCTCCCAAAGTGTTGAGATTACGGACTGAGCCACTGTACCTGGCCTTTTTTTTTTTTTTAAATATAAGTTCAATGGGATTGAAGTGGTGATACATTCAATGAATGTGGGCAAGAAATGGCTTTTAATTCAACAAATATTTACTAAGTACCTGTTAGGTTCCTGCCATCATGCTATGCATTTGAGATACAAAGATATTTTTATACAAAGATTCCCCTACCCTTAAGGGATTTAAAAGTGAGTGACAAGCCATTTTAAAAAATATGATACATGTATCTTTTTTCTTTTTTGTATAAGACATTTACGTCTGTAACTTAAATTCCAGTTCATTTTATTGAAACTGACAAAAACAACTGCATGTTCTTTAGTAGCAAACCATTTCTAAGGAAAACTGACATCTTCAAAAGCTACCGTGGTCAGATGGACAAACACAAACATCTGGCCAGGTGGTGAGGTTAAACTAGGGCTTTATATCAGTAATGTTAAAAATACTGTCCTTAAAAAAAATTTTTTTTAATTGTATCTCAAAACATAAATAAAAAGAAAAATGTTGATGGTTAAAGTTTGAAAGAGATTTGATCCATTTATTTTATATCACAAAACAAAATGAACACTAAAAGTTCCTAATAAAAAGATTCATCATCCTAGATTATACCCCAAGAAATAATCATTCATTGCTATAAGAAGAGATGGTATTGCTTTACATGAAGGTAAAGGGAGTAAGCAGAAAGAGAAGGAACTGGGCCAACCAAGAAAACTCCATCCTCATATACTGCAATTTCTAAATCCACAGAGAAATCATGCCAAGTGATGGCAGTTTTCAATTATTTATATGTTTACTCTGGGTCTTTATGACCCTGGTAGAATTACAAAGCTCACATTTATACAGATAACATTTTTCTTAAATCGGTTTTATAACTTCTTTAGGAAAATTCAGCTTTTGCAACCATAGCTATCAGACATGGGGATCTTTAATTTTTGCCAAACATTCCACATTTTAACATCTGGTTCTTTTAGGCAATAATAAAGGGAAAATCATTCTTATTTAACATGGGCTCAACAGCTATCTTTTATTTTTAAAAATCTATCTAGTTTCGTATTTCTATTTTAGCAGGGGACTTGAACATTTTACTGAAACAAGGCTGTCTAGATTTTGTATTTAGCCTAGTTATATTAAAAAATAGATTTTAGGACCCAATGTGCCACTTAGGCTTATTTTGAATGAAACCCCTAAAGGTTACATGTATAAACTATGTATGGGTTGGGAAAAGTGTCCTGGATTAGTTTCCAATTGCTGCCTTAACAGAGTATCACAAAATTAGTGGCTTACAACAATATAAATTCATTATCTTATACGCCTGTAGGTCAGAAGCCTAACATGGGTCTCACAAAGGTAAAGTCAAGATGCTGGCAGGGCTGTATCCCTTTATGGAGGCTCTGGGATAATGAATTTCCTTGCTTTTCCAGCTCCTGAGGCTGCTCACAATCCTTGCCTTGTGGTCCCCATCAAAATCTAGCAACCCTTCTTCATAGTCACATCACCCCCTCACCACAGCCAGGAAAGGTGCTCTGCTTTTAATAACAATGTGATTAGACTGGGCCCATAGAGATAATGCAGGATCAAAGTGAGTTAATGAACATCCCTAATTGTATACATCCAGTTGACCGATCTCAAGGTCAGCTAATTCAATCTTAACTGCATCTACAATTTTAATTCCTTTTCCTTTTTGCTGGGTAAGGTAATATTCATAGGTTTCAGAAATGAGTTCACAGACAGCTTTGAGGGGGGCATTAATTGTTTTCCACTGGCAGGGAGAGTGAGGGTCTTATCCTGGGAACACTGATCCTCCATGGTTTTGTAGATGGGTTTCAGGGACTTCAGAAAGGGATATCTATGAATCCCCTGAGGCTGTATTTGCAAGGGTATACACATTTGAGCAGGAACACATTTTTTAAAAAAAAGAGCCCATGACTTTAATCATGTTCTTAAAGGTGTATGTGGCCAGAAGAACTGAAAAAGTGCTGTTTTAAACAGCAGCACCATTGGTATAGTTTTCAAATAATCTTGTTTATTGAAAAACAGTATCTACTTTATAAACATTTTGGTGGTCTTATTAGAAAAGTTGGTTTCACTAAAATAGCAGTCAATCCTTCACAATAGCTAATACAAGACAAATAATGCTGTAGTGCAGGTGCTATTTCAGTGGCAATTATAATTTATTATAAAACAAAGTACAAGGCTAAGATGAAAATATTCTAGATAATGTGAATTGAACTGAAACTTGTACTGAACAAAGCTGTGAAGTCATGGCACTATGGCAACACGATAAAGTGGCAATAGTAATGAAGATACAAGTAATGAAAACTTCAGTAAAAGGATATGGATTAGGAACTTAAAAGATAACACAGGCATACCTCCG